GAACGTGGCAGAAATTCTCACTCAGTGGGCGGGGTGGGGGGGGGTGCTATCATTTAAATATTGTAGGTACGTGAATTCAGGAAAATATTCTAATATAGTACGAGTAGTCCAAAATAGTAGTGAGTTATCTGCAGGGCTGGCAGTGTAGGAATTTGTTGACTTGAGGCTTTACAGCTCAGCATATTAATATGGCTTTACTTTTTGTACCTCTTGACTCATTTCATACATCCTAGTTTTTTATTTATTTTTCTTGTACCAGAAATCAATCTCGACCTTGAGTATGTCAGGCAGGCGTTGAGCTATGTCCTCTGCTGTACATCCTAGTTTGAACAATATATTTTGTCTTCCAGTGCATTAGTGTAAATGCTCTAGATACAGATACATAGAATAGTCAGAAGCACTTATGCAGTAGAAAATTTTTCAAATTAGTTCTAGATTTAGACAAAAAGATAAATTTATATTCTTGTATCTTACATCACTTTTCTTGATCATTTTAGTTATGGTTTTATGTTGGATTTGTAAAAGATGAATTAATTTACTTTTATGTTCAAATATCTTTTCTCCATTTTGAGGAGAGAGTGCTGATTTTCTGATGCATCTGTGTAAGTCCAGTTTTGGCTGAAGGCTGCTTTGTAGAACCTGCCATTCAGGCTGCGTGGATCCTTGCATGTGGGTGGTCGCATGCGTTACATTTTTCTCACCCAAATTGCCCTGTGTCATTATTTTTTAAATTATAATGTTTAGCTTTGTCACTATATCTCTTAGTTTTGGGGCTGTTCTTACTGTTGCATTTGTATTTGAACAAAAGAAAAAGAGGTTACACCATTACTAGAAGGGCAAGGAAGGCAAGGAAATGAAATGTCATTCATTCTCTTTCTTTTTTCTTTTAAGTGTCTTCTTCCAAATGATAGAAATAAGGGCCGGCCAGATAGCTCAGCAGATTAAAGTGCCTGCTTAGGCAGACCAGGTTTGATCTCCAGCTGCCTTGCTGGCCCCGCCCCCGAGGCACGTGAGAGGGTACTGAGATTGGGTGTGGTGGCTCAGATCTGTAATTCCAGTGCTTGGGAGGCTGAAAACGGGATCACTTTGAGTCCCACGTTTGTAGTGAGACCCTGTAGATCCTGTACTAAACACATAAAAAAAAAAAACAAAACCAAATGATAGAAATATTTGGATAGTGACATGTAGAAAAACAGGCAAAATTTATCTTCTTGTGTCTCAAGTAAAAAAAACAAAGTATAGTTTACAAATTACTAGCTTCTCAATCTGCCCTAACTTGCAAATTTATGGTAAAATAAATGAAAATATTTCCATCTTTCATTTTTTTTCAGTAAATTCTTTTTTGATGTAAAATAATCCAAAAGCATTTGCTTTTTCTGTATATAGACATAAAAATAATTTTCTTACTCATTAAAGATAAAATGATTTCCTTATTCATTGAAGAGTCTTTCTGTTATTGTTCAAAGCTCAGCACAGGGTATTTGAGGGGGTGAAGAGGTCTAGAATTTCTAGGAGTAGCAAAGAGACAGTATGCAGTCAGTGCTGCCTGTCCTCTACTAGAAATGTGCTGGCTACTTGTCGGAGCCCCCAAGAGGGATCTATCCTGCAGTGATGTTGCAGAAAGGCTTTGGAAGGAAGATGGCATTTGAACTAGACCTTGAAGGAAAATAATTTTTGGTTAAGTGGCACTTCTGCAAATAAATGGTTATCTCCAGTATCAGGTGAGAAGGCAAATCGTGTACAAATGTCTGTAAGAACTGAAGTAGAAAATGCTTTGTAGGTAAATGAGTATTTCTAGGAAAACACTGTAGCTGAAAGTGATCAGGTTTATGAGGCATTTTAAGTGTTAGGCTACAGAGTGTGATATCTTTCTATATTAGAACAATAGAGGCCATCTGTATTTGCATTTAGTTTGTTAACATTAAAAAAATTCCTTTCCCACTACATTTTTTTGGTACTGGGAATTCAAATCAGGACCTTGCACTTCTAGGCAGCACTGTGCTGCTGAGCTGTATCACCAGCCACTTCCCACTGCTTTTAAAACTTACCCAATTAAAAATTGTATAATATAATCATGGAAAATGACAGATTGTGAGTTTTTTATGTCTCTAAAGCTAAGCTTCTCCAATAGATCTTAGAGCAGATTTCCTGACTTCAAAATATTTTTATCACAAAAATATTTTTTTTCCTTAAAATTAGCATTCAGATTCTGATAGTAGGCCAAATAAGGTAACATACTGGTCTTGTTACATTTATTTTTGGCAGGATGGTCTCTCCATCATATTAACTGGATGAAACCTATTTGCAGTGATTCCCAGTTGGTCATTTTCCTAGAAGTGTAGCATTTTTATTTCTTTTTCTGTAACCATACGCAAGCGTCCTTATGTAAGAAGCTTGCCAGTGTGCACTGGATAACCTTGATGTGCTGCTCTACAGCGTAGCATATGCCGCGCTCGTCAGTTCTTAAGCCAAGCGCTGTGCAAGTCAATACTTACTTTAAGACCTTATTTTTAACATTAGGCTGGCAGAGGAGTTAGGTTGCCTTCTTCGTGTGGGATGCTGAGATGCAAGCCAGGACCTCATGCATGCTGAGCACACAATCTGCCCTGCGCCGTAGCCCCAGACCTTGAAAATGGATAACCTTGGCTCAGTTTTGGACACAAGAATTTGTATGTGTGCATGAATTGTGAATGAATAAGTAAATAAATACCTTTTGAAAGTTTACAGAATCATTTTTAAGCATGCGTATTTCTAATAATGCATTTGGACAATGGGTATTGAAGGGCTAGATCATCTAAAATGTCTCAACTGGGGATGTTTAAGCATATGATGGCTTTAATGAAGGTGGTAGATCCACGATGATTAGCTTTCCCTCTTTCTGTCATGTGTAGTATGAAAATGGAAAATTACTAGATTACCTGAGGAATTAATGGAAGGTAGGGGCTGTCTGCTCTTCCGTGGACACAGCCTCACAGTACTTGGTCCACAGCTCTTCGTGGCATCTGCTGAGTTACTATTTAAGTCATCTGGCATCTCGCATATGGTTACTTCTGTTGCTATCTAGTAACTAAGTAAAGAATACATCTCTACAATGCCTATCAAAGATCCAAAATGAAAAATAAAGTATGTAAAGTCAGATTTAATTCAGAGTATAGTGATTTTTCCCTTATTTGAGTTTTTGTTAAAATTAGCTAATAATAGGAAACTGTACACAAGATGAAAAATATGAAATATAGTTTGGTCTTTCCATCTGAATATTAATAAAAGGTTGTTCATATCTTCATTCACGGTGACCTTTTCCTGTGCTTTCCTACTTTTGCTTTATGAGTTTTGAGGAATAATTTTTCCAAGAAGAAGACTTTTTTGGTTGGCTCCTATAAGTCACATTAACGTGGAAAATTTGCAAATATCTGAAGAAAAACGAAAAGTTGAATACTCACAATTTTGTCAGTGTGAAATGTAAATTATTTGGTGTGTGTTCTCAGTAGATGGGTTTTGCTGTCTTGGGTCATACTGAATGACAGTTTTACACTTTGCTTTCCTCTTATTGTAATAGCAAGAACTATTTCAATTTCAGACCAAAAATTAGAGCAGAGTTTATTAATAAAGCCAGCCATTGGCTCCTTCCCGTGTTACAGGTCTTAAATCCAGCCGGCGTCTGAACGTGCTTCCCTGATCCTTACAGATCAGAAGCACGTCTGGCCGTATTTTTAGTTCATCTCTGCCTAAATACCTTCTTGGTTTCCATGGCAATGGGATTCTTCTTTGTAATTCTGTAATTTCTCCTATGTTTACAACATCTTAAGGGTAGGGAAAGCTAAACTAGAGCTGCTTTTGCTAAAATCAGATTAATGCACTTGAGAGCCACCACTGCCTTCATTGTAGCAGTTGCTCTGTTTCCCATTTGAAAAGTTTTGTTTCTTTATGGGACTGAGTACTCCACGGCTTACAACATGATGTTTGCAAGGTGAAGACATTTTGATTCACTTGATTATGTCTGTGAGCTCATTTAGTGTATTTTAACATTATTTTAAGATGATTTTAAATACAAAGTAAGCTACAGATTTAATTTTCTCTTTTATGTGGTAGGATTTTTATTTGATGATGGAATAGGTTTAGATTTTAATGTGTAACCAAAAGCCAAACTATTTTGTCTACATTTCTCTTGTGTTAATCTGAGTAAGAGAATATTTTGCTTGTTTTTAAGTGATGTATGTGCATCTTGCAGTTTTCTACCTTTTTTATTATTAATGGGTAAATATGTTAAGATTTTCTTTAGTGGACCTGGAAAGATACTGATACTACTGTTTGTTCTCAATTTAAATAACACAGTGAAAGATACTTGGTCTCCACAAGGATTTATTTTTAATGCCAAACATTTGTCGAGTAAGAACTAGAGGAAATTGAGTTCATATTGCTGCCGTATCAGCTACAGACTTATTTTTGTTCCTTTTTAGCACTTTGCTTTTGAATAAAATTACTTATCTAGCATAGAACATGGTGAAAGGAAATGTTACTCTCTTAAGTAGTGCTGTCAGTCCTGCTTGTCAGCTGCTTTATATACTGTACCTACTTTCTATTTTACACAAATTATTCCTTTAGTGTCCATACTTCTCTTCATGGGATGTAGGTCATGGAGGCGAACCGTGGTACAACAGGCTGTTTGTATCACCGGAAGCCCTCAGAGGTGTGCCTTCACCAGTCGAGGCCTTTCTAGGGAAAGGCTTCATCTTTCCCGTGTACCGACCCATGTATCCTGGCTGCAGTGGCGCATTCATGGCAGTGCCCAGGGAGCCCACTGCTGTGTGTACTGCGCTCGAGACAGTTGGCTGGAAGGAAAAGTGAAGCAAGTACATAGGAAACTGGCGTCGTGTTCTTCGTTTACCTTAGTTAGGGTTAAGGTGAAATCTCACTTACTGTATTTCCTTTTATATTTCTAGACATGCTTCCATCATTTCTTCAGAAAGCTGAAGCTGTCTCTGAAGCTTCTAAAGAAACTTGTATGGCTTTGAGTGATTGCCTTAATCTGTTCACCAAACAAGAAGAGGTAAGTTGTTTGGAATTAATTTTTAAAATAATTGTTGAGGTGTCACATGGTTGATCTTTCAGTAAGTCATTTTTTAAAAATCGATTTACTTATTTATTTCTTTGGTAAAGGGTCTCACTATGCAGCTGGGACTCATAGCAGTCCTCCTGTCTCAGCCTCCCCAGTGCTGCGATTACAGATGTGCGCCACCATGCCTGGTTTTGGTGGCCTGCACAGCATGCTGTACCGGAGTTGAACCTGGTCCTTGCACTTGTGAGACAGGTGCTTAGACCGCCGAGCTGTCTACTCAGCTGTCATAGTTTTTAAATTGTTGAAAAGCAGTAATTGTTGCTTTTCAACAATTTAAAAACTATGGTTCATTTTCACTGAAATTTGGAATGTGTTTATTCATTAAGCAGCATGATTCTAAAATAACTACTGTAAAATTCAGCATTCTTTTGAATTGATATAGCTATTTTAAAAAATTGTTCTGCTTTTTTAAATTTTGAGATTATTTTATTATTTATGTGTGGTGCTGGGGATCAAACTCAGGTGCTTGTGGATACAAGGTAAGCATTCTTGAGCCATGTCCCAACCCTGATGTATGGAGAGCCCTTCCTGGTCCTCATCTCGGTCTGGAAAGTTTGTATTTGTAATCCCATGGATAAATTACTGCAATCCCGTCAAGTTAATTCCAGCCTACCATTTCCTATGCAACCCACAGTGAGAATAAAGACACTAAGGCATTTTTATAGACATGGGGAGCCAAGGGGTCCTAAGTCCAGCCATGATGATGGCTTTCTGGAACAAAGGCCTTGACCTAGAGTCTAACCTGAGTTTTATTCAGTTGTGAAGGAGGAGTGGCTTGAGGATGAATGACTGAGAATTGCAGGAAGCAGGTGAGCACTGTGAGCTGGGCTAGGCAGGAGGCCTGCATTTACCTCTGCAAAATGTGATGTTTTGGGGTTGGGTACTTCAGCTCTAATGTGTAATCTTTCAAGCCCCATGAAAGCATAGCCTCCATCTCGAGGCTTGAACCCAGCTCACGGCATGGAGCACTGGCTCGTCGTTCCTTCGTGACCCCGCTCATATGAAAGAGCAGCAGGTGGGGGTTCCTGGGGAAGCAAAGTGCTGTCTTCAAAGACTGCCACCAGCACCTCGGCTAGACCAGTACGCACTGCTGAAAGCCAGCTGAAGGGAGAAGGAGAAGTCCTAGCCTGCTCTGTGTGTATCAGTCTGTGGAAATAGGGTCAGGAACAGCCAAAATGGAGATAATTGCTCTTCGTTCAAGGAGAGTCGCCCAGGTGGTTCGCCACACAGATGCAGCCACATTTAACAAATATAATTCGTATCACTGTGCCGAGGATTATTGTGACATTTCAGTGCATGGGATGTGAAAATATTCTAAAAACAAAAGATCTTTATGTGAAAAATAAGTATCACTTAATATATAGAAAATAATGCTGCACTTACCTGTGTAAATTGATCTCAGCAGGTGAAAGCTGGTTGTATTTTGTTTGCCCTTACTCCCTTCCTGTTCAGCCCTATGCCCTTTGCTTTTGGGTGAAACCAGTACACTCATCTTAATGATTCTTTTTTTTTTAAGAACTAAAAAGTTGTAAATATTTCCTTGGGTTGCCTAAACTAGTATTTTTATTTTGTCATTTTTATGATTTTAAATCAAGTAGCAAGGTAGGCATGTGGTGCATGTGTATAATCCTAGCACCTGAAGGCTGAGGCAGGAGGAGAGCCATGAGTGTGAGGCCAGCGTGAACTGTATAATGAGACCGTGTTTCACTCCCACCCCCCCACCCCCCCGGAAATAAGCTTGCTTTCCCATTTTGCTGACTTTTATATATATGTTTAACCATCGCTTTTTAAAAATATTTAACCATTACTTTTTTATATTGATAGCTAATTTCTTATTATAGTTATACTTTTTGGTTAGAGATTAGGTTTTAGCAAAATAAGAAAATGTATTTCTGTGCTTTTTACTTTTTATCTCGACACAGGGTGTCATCAACTTGCTGAGTTGCCTGGGCTGGGCTCAAACTTGTGATCTTCCTGTTTAGTCTCTCAGAGTGCCAGGATTTCAAGTGTGCACCTCCATACCTTGTTTATGTTTTTCTTCTAAGTAAAATCTAAAATTTTATTTTGTCATGATTAAAATGGAATCCTTATGAGTTCATATACAGCTTTTTAAATGCTGTTTATGTGTGTGTTTTCTTTTCTATATATTTGTTTGAAAAGAAAAATAGGAAAATATTAATCTGAATTCTCCCCCCCCCCCCAGAACTGGGGATTGAACTCACACCTTTGCACTTGCCAGGGAAGTGCTTATTCTACAGAGCCATCTCCCCAGCACCTCTGATTTCTTTTAAAACTGTATGTGTGATAATTAACTTTATAAGGTCTTATAAATAAATGAATCTGATCCTGGGTAAAGAAAGAGGGTGAGGGCGAGAAAGGGATTTGCAACCAATTCCCTATAGTGAAAGTAATTATGTAGGCAAACACGTACTAATAAAAGTCAAAACAAAACAAAATCTTAGTCTTCCACATAATTCTGTTACTGTCACAGGAAAACATGGTTGATTCTTCTCTTCTAATACTGTTTGTAAAATACTTCCTTACCACTTCTGTTTGCATTCATTGGCAGATTTCATATGCTAGTTTCAGTGATGAACGGTGTATACAAATCTGGTAGCACTGTAGAAGATCTTTGAAATTAACAAATTGTGATGTCAGGATCGTGTGGTGTTTAGCACATTGCAAAACCCAATTCCTTTCAATATTTTGGCTATATTGCCCAGTGAATGTATCGATATCTTTTTTTCTGCCTAGGGACATATGGTTTTAAGGCAGAACACTAGATTAGAAGTAACGTGTTATGAAGATGGTCTGCAGTCTCTGGAGAAGTCAGCCTATTCTGATTTTCACAGTTTGCTTTAAAAAGCCCTGAACCCTTCTCTTTGTTAAAAATGTAGGTTTGCTTGAGTGTTAGCTTTGAGCTTAGACTGTTTAACCTGTTTTAGCTTCTTAAATTTAGCTTGAGGATTAAAGATGATAATGTCATCCTCCCTATAATGCCTGATACATAGCAACCCCTGAATAAAAGCCAGCCACTACAATTGTAGGCTCTTAGTAATTAACACTTGTAATCCCTCTTCTCTGATGAGCTTGGAGCTGTTGTGTCTTTAAAATTATATTTGTTTGGCAAGAGATAGTATGCTCTAAAGAAGATTTATTTGACCACTTGTGGAATGATTTTATTGTTTTATCTTCATTACATACTACACAAGAAAGAGCTGCTGATGTTTGTCTTTGTTTGATGTCTTCATCTTTGAAGAAACCACACATAAAGTTGTTAGGAACAATGGTCTGAATGTCTAATGGGTCTGTTTTAAATCTCAGTCTTTGTGGGACAAATTTCTATAAAACAAAAATATATAGTGAAACACTCAGAGGTCGATGTGGACATCAGTGGTGCACAGCCATGTAATGTGTGTGGAACACAGCATTTGTGTTGCATTTTCAGCAACTTGCATTTCGTGTTTCAGGTGTTTAGAGGACCTTTAGGATAGCTTTTCAGCAGTTTTATGAAATACCATCTTTCAGTAAAATTTATGGATTCATGGAAGAAAAACTGTAGAGAGAAGTCTCCCAAAATACTTGAAAAATAAGTGGCATCCTTGAAGTTGGTCTTTCAAATGCTGAAGAATTGCGTCAGAATAACTTAATTGACATCAGAGTGGCATAATCACGTTTTTACTGCCTTATTTCTCTGGCATTATGTGTTACATTTCTATTATCTGGAAACTTTTTAAACAACAGTTGCAAGCTTTGCGCTCCGGCAGACTTGAGTGTACTTCTTGGCTCTGCTATTTAATTTTCCCTCAATTCAGTTTTAAAATACACTCTCCTTTTTGAAACCATGGCTAAAACACCTGTGGATGGTTTTGAAGCATAAGTGGGATTATAGTGGCAAAATACTTGAGTTGTACATGCTGCAAAACAGGGCTGGGTGGGTGAGTGGCCTCAGTTCCCAGAGAAGCAGACCTATTTCTATTTTAATCGTTTATTTTATTTATTGAGTACAGGGTCTACAGGGTCTCACTACGTAGATCGGAGTCATAGTGATTCTGTTTTCAGCCTCGGGGATCGAACGCTGGCTGCTGTGTTCTGCCTAGCAGGTGCTTTAGTCTGCTGAGCTATCTGACTGGCCCTTCTAATTTTTTTTTTTAACGTTACACATTTTCTTTTTACTGTGCGTGTGCGCGTGTGTGGGTGGGTGCGTGGGGGTGATGTTGGGGTTTGAACCCAAGGCCTTTTTTTAACGTGTGAGGTTGTAACTACTACTGAGTCACAGCCCCAGCCCACACATTTAATACTTACCTAAGATTCTAAAATTCAATTTCAATTTTTCTAGTTTTTTCAGGATTCTTCTTTTTTTTTCCTTTTATTTGGGACAGGGTCTGCAGGGTCTACAGAGTCTCACTATGTAGATCGGACTTGTAGTGATCATCCTGTTTTAAGCCTCCCAAGCCCTGGGATTACAGGCACATGCCACCACACCCAGTCTCAATTGCTGTCTCAGTGCACCCCAGGGCCTAGCATGGCACGCCAGGGATTGGACCCTGGCTTGTGCGTTCTGCCTAAGCAGGCGCGTTAGTCCGCTGAGGTATCTAGCCTGCTCTCGATTATCCTTTTGTTAATAAGTACGCTGTGCCTTTATACAAAGATATTAATTTTCACAGAGCCATGTACTCTTTAGCTAAGTGGCTGGGTCTTGCTAATCCTTCTTGAATTCTTTTTTGCTCCTTATAGGTTTTAAAAATTACTTCTAAACTTTTAGATTATGTGCTTGGTTCTAGCAGAGTCCAGATCCCTTTGGATGTGTTCTTTCTGATTTCCTGTGTCATAACAAGAAAGCCAGAGAAACCAAAGAGCAAGACTGACCTTAGCGAGGGAGAGCCGGCTCTGAAAGAAAGTTTTCTGAGAGCCTTTGTGTCTGAGCTTGT